AGATGAGGATTATATATTAAGTAAGACAAAATATAAAATACTTAATAGAATGTCTGTGCTACACTGCTTGGGAGAGACATATAATCAAATAATTCTATAAACTTATGGTACAGAAGTACTACACACTGAGAATCTGGAACAAAGAAGTGATTATCTTTAATAGTGGAAGGAATGGAAAACTTCACAAATGAGGCTTATCCAAGTTGAACTGTGAAGAATAAAAATGAGTTCAAAGATTAACCAAGAAAGGAAGGAGATACATTCTAAGAAACTTCTAGACCAGGTGAAAAAAGGCATGAGAAAGAATGGCTTACAAAAGACACATCATGACTTCGCCTGACCCACAGTGAAGGAAGAGGGACCAGGTCTACTCTTCTGCCTAACACACTTGAAAACTGGGCAAAACAAAAAAAAAAACCAAACTTGTAGAGATGGGGTTTGTAGGCAAGGAAAGAACAAAATAAGGGCCTTGTTAGGCTTTGTTAGGAAATTACTAGGAAAGTTTACTAAAAGTGGTTTTTGTTTCTGCAGTTAGATTCACTGGTTAGTGCCAGATATAGAAGGGCACTAGACAGCACAAATGGCATAAGATTTACAACAAAGGAAGGAATGTTCCCTAATGAAGAGATCATTCAAAGAAAGCTGACAGGCAAAACACAGAGGAAGCCAGGATCATGGAAACCAGGATAACCACTCCTCCTACCTCCAATAAAATGGAAAAGGGGTAGCTATCTAACGTAAAAGAAACTCTTATTTAGTATATAAATACACTATTTAGTATATAAATATACTAATATATAAAAACAGTACATATACTAATTATTTAGTATATAAATACTAAATAATACTAAAGTATTTAGTATATAAATACTAAATAATACTAAAGTATTTAGTATATAAATAAACTAATATATAAAAATTCATACACCTACGTATGTGTGTGTATCTATCTATCTATCTATATCTATCTCTAGGTATGTTTTCACTCTAAGGCTACTATGTTACTGTACTAGATACACACACATCCACTTCATTACTAACTCTTAAGCTTACTTTTCTATAAGGCTCTTCCTCACAAACCTGTAAATACCATAGATAAGGCAAAGGTGCAAAACAAAGTCAAATAAAATCCCCCAGAAGGAATGTATATGTAGACAAGGGTACCCAGGTTAGGGTCTTGTGGCCTGGGGCCATTCCAAGGACAGCCCAGGGAGCCAATCTGATTGTAGATGCAGATAAAGCAGGGTGTAGAGGGAACTATTAGCATGACATGGTAACAGTCATATACAACATAACCACATTTACAGGAGACTGCAAATATAAACCAGTGACTGTGGTTTGTACAAGCATAATCAATAATGTTTCTAAATAACAAAATGGCCTTATGACTTGTCAGATTGTATTCCCATCCTTAAGGAGTGCGTGACTATATTAGTAATGAAAGGTCTGAAAAATCAGTGATCTCAAAATATACCTTCAGAAACTAAGAAAAGTTTTGAGAAACCCCCCAAAAGTTAAGAATAGAAACCACTAAGATATAAAATGGAAATACAATACTGAAAAACAAAGAAATCAATGAAACCAAAAGCTGATCTTTAGAGAAGATAATACCTGATAAACCTCTAGCTAGAATGATCCAGAAAAAGAGAAAAGAAAAATTACTACTGTCAGAAACAAGTGGGGGACCAATACCTCAGATCCAATGGAAGTATGTCCAACCTATGGCCTACAGACTGGACAGACTTGGCTAGCCTGGGCTATTCAGTGGTACCTCAGTTCACAAACTTAACCCTTTCTGTGATTCTGGTTGTAAACTGAATTAGATGAGAACTGAATCAGATTCAGTGGTTGGGTTCAATGTTGACTTCATGGAGAAGTTTGATTACGTTCTCATCCAATTTGGTTTGTGACCATAATCATGGAAAGAATTAAATTCGTGAACCAAGTTACCAATGTACTGAGTAAAGAGGAAATATCTTGGGCAGTACATAACACAGTTAATGTATATAAGTAACAAAACTTTTACAAAATACTTTTTATTAAAACACAAGTGTGTCTAATCCACAGGCTATAGGTTAGGCACATCTTGATAGACATTAAAAAGAATATTCAGGGAATATTACAAAGTACTTTAAGAAATTTAACTCACCCAGTAAGAAAATGGACAAGGGTCTCTGAAAGATACTATACTATCAAAAGCCACACAAGATAAAATATATTATGTGAATATCCTCCTATCTATTGAAGGCAATGACTCAGTTAAAACTTTCCTATAAAGACAAATTCAAAGACAGATCTTTTTAGAAGTTCAAAGAAAATATATCAGTTCATTCTACAAGGTCATCATTACCCTGATACAAATACTAGAGAAAATCACTGAAGGAGGGAATACTTCACATCAATACCCTTCATATGAATAAACATGAACTTTCTTAAAATATCGACAGATGCACGTATATGTGTGCAATAAACACCATGAGAGCTACGGTCTGAACTTGTCATCCTGAAACTTATATGATGAAACCTACTCTTGAATATGAGAGCAGTAAGAGGTAGGACCTTCTGGGAAGTGACCAGTGCAAAGCCCTCATGAATACAATCAGTGCCCTTCTAAAACAGGCCTGAGGGTCTGTCCATCTCCTAAGCACATGAACAGGCAAGAAGAATGCATCATCCCTGCAGCAGACAGCAAGCCTGCTCTAGATCCCAATCTGCTACAGTCTTAATCTTAGACTTCTCAGCTCCAAAACCTGGGAACAACAAATTTCTATAATGTATAAAATACCCACTATGAGGTTATTTTGTTATAACAGGCTGAATAAACTAAGACAATGAGCAAAGTGGTTTTATCCAAGAAGTGCAATGCAAGGGTGATATAATATTCTAAATCTAATCACTGTAATTCACTACATTAAGAAATCAAAAAAATGTATGGTGTGTCCAAACTCCTGGGTTTGATCCCTAGCACCACTAAAAAAAAAAAAAAGAGGAGATCTTATTATATGGTACAACATGGATGAACCCTAAAGACATTATGTTAAGTGAAATAAGCCAATCAACAAAGAACAAATACTCATGATTATATGAAAATTCTCAAGTGTCAGATTTAAAGCAGAAAGTTAGAATGGAGGTTGTCAAGGCCGGCTCGGGAGCTGCTATGCAATGAATACACAGCTTTAGTCATACAAAATGAAGAAAATTCCAAAGATCTGCTATACAATAATGTACATAGATTTAACAACACTGTACTATACAATTAAAAATTTGTTAACAGGGTAGCGTCCATCCTTTTTTTTCCACAAGAATATTTTGTATTTTCAGACAGGTCTAGCTAAGTTGCTAAGTTTCCTATGCTGGGCTCAAATTTATGATCTTGCTGCCTCAGCTTCTCAGACTGCTAGGAAAACAGGTGTGCACAACTATATCCAGCTGCAATAGTATTAACAAGAAATTCTGACCACGTTCTAAACGACACTGTAGGTTATAGTACTTGGAATTGCATAATGAGAAAAAAAGGTTCAAACTATAGTTTTAAGAATGGAGAGAGAACTTCAGGAATCCATTTTTATCCTACTCTACATTCATCCAATTTATTCATGAATCTATCTCCTTAAACTGATAAAAGAGATTAAGGATGGAGAATTTTATAGATAGTCTCCTGCTGTCATAAAATATGGTACTTCAGAAGATATTAAGTTTGGATTTCTATTCTGTATTATATTCTTAGTATCTTTCGGTCATATCCTTCTTGGATAACAAAAAGTAACCTGAATCAGATAAATCTCTGTCCCAAATCCTGAATCTAATACTAGTTCCCACCAAGCAGTAAATAAAATTAGCCAGTATGATTTTCAAGAAGTTGACATTTATATCTCAAGAACACAACTAAAACCATGCTAGATCTCTTCTGAAGTATATTGTACAATCAGGTAACCATCCATGAAATACTTCCCGTATAAACAAGATTAAATGTTAGTTCTACCTCTTTTTTCAGGTATATTACACAAAACAGGATTTGGAACTGACATACCAGGTGATATATCTTAGCTCCTAATAAAGAGTTCATAACTGACTCTACATCCCCCATAAAAAAATATAAAGAGGATTTTGAAATACATAAACCTATCCTTCCAAATTTTACGTACATATTTTTCCATGTTTACACATAGAGAAAATATAATAATTTTTAACCTGCCCTTGAACTATGTAATCCAGGCTGTTCTCAAGCTGACAGCGATTCTCCTGTATCAGCCTCCTGAGTGCTGGGATTACAGGCATGCACCACCTCAACCAGCAAGAATTTTTAAAAATTCTAAAAAATTCTTAGGAATGGGGCTAGGGACATAGCTCAGCAGCCTAATGCCTGCCTGGCAAGTGCAACGTCCTGAGTTTGATTCCTGATACAAAAAAAAAAATTTAGGAATAGTATCAGTATGTTTTTATTTTTTCTTTAATTATTGAAAAAAATACTCTGATTCCATGAAAAAGTATAGTGAAATACATCTCACTTAGTTCCATTCAAATCACAACTCTTTGGTCATGACATTTCTCTGCCATCTATAAATTACAAGAAGTAATGTTTTAGTAAGATTACACTGAAATAATCACATTCTTTAGATGCTACTGTATAGCTAGGGAGAAATGGATTATTCTTCATGAAACTCCTACACTATCAAGAACATAAGTAACTACTGCTGTCCAAATCAAAGAGGTATATTTTGTAGCGGATAGCAAAATCCTTCTTGAATCTATCATTTAATCTAAAGGAACTGACATTTACATAAGATAGATTAAATAGGATGCAAAAAAAACCACAGCAATCCTAAATTTCAGACTATAAATAGGATGCAAAAAAAACCACAGCAATCCTAAATTAACTTGAAACAAAATATATGTGTGCATATGCATGCACACATATATATGTAGGAATAAAGTTATGTATAAGCTTAATGGTATCTTCAAAAAGACCATTTAAGTCTCTGTTTTTGTGACATTCTTACCTGTATAATGCATCATCAATCTCCACAGATTCTGCTGACATCATGGGAAAAGTTTTACTTGCACTAGGAGGAAAAAAACCAAAGATGTAAAAAAAAGTATTCACATTCTACATCATAACATTCAATTATAAATGGGCTCAGATTCAAAAGTTATTAAAAGATTTTTACATACTATGTATTTTATCATCACTTTAGATTTTTAAAAATGTATTGACATTTAATTCACTAACGCTTGTTCTGTCCTATGTGTACTATAGATAATACAACCTGTTTGTTTTACTTTCAGGTGTTGTTTCATCATTGCTGTCTATTCCAATGAACCTTTTCTATACATTAACTCACTCAGTTCCATGGGGTTTACCATACACTAATGAATTCTAATCTTATTTTTCTAGGTATGATCTCTTCTGATCTCCAGATGTGATATACCTGCATAAACAGTAACTCATTTTTTGGCCTATCTGGTATCACAAACATAAAAACAGAGTTTACTTCTCTTTGTCTTTATAATAGGCATGAAGGAAGAACTCAAGAAATGGGTGAATTTTAGAATTTTAAAAATAAAATGTAAGCAACACTGAACTGGTGAGAGGACATATCCTTACTGTAGTGATGTATCATTCACAGCAGTGGGACCCAATTTTTCAACAGCACTGTACACAAAGAAAAACGGTATTTGTAGGAAACATGGAAGCAGTGATTCAAAGGCAAGGAGAACTACCTGGGGCGCTGGGAGGCCAGCCACAGTGACAGCTGAAGTCACTATCATCTTGGCAAAAATATAATCCATACCAAGATCTGGGAAGCTCTACTGTCAATTAAGGATTCTAATAACAATAGGACAGCATGATTCAGGTTTCGAGAGTCTTAATTTTCTAAGCCTACCATTGATAAATAAGCCAAAGAGTTTGTTAATTAGATGATAAATGTTACCAATTATCTTACCCCGCTGATTAAACCATCAAATGGTATCAGCATCGAGCTATTTGAATGCTTAACTATTATAAAAACTCTTGACTGCAATTATGAAAGCAAATCAGCAGTGAAGAGCACACACACACAACCCTGTTTGGGCACTGTAACAAAATACAAACAAAATTTAGTATTTATTTTACCCCTACTTCACTTTCACTTGCTGTCTTCTTTACAAGGGACACAATTAAACGGGTAAAGCGCTTGGGTAAAAAGTAAGAGCTCCAGTCTCAGTCTAACTAGCTCCGTTAGTAACAGTATGACTGGCACTTTTCAGAAAGTTGTCTCAGTAAAAGTTTCAAGAATATTTCTAAAAATAAGACTGATGATGGTAAGTGCTTCAAACGGGGGGCGGTTTCCTTCGTCTGGCACAGTACCTCCCAAGCACCCTGGCAGTGTTGGCGAAGGCAGACAGTACGTTAGTGGCGAGTGAAGTATTTTTCAGCCTGAACCTGGTGAAAACGCTACAGGTTTGCGGGCAATCTGCTTGGCTGAAATCAGGCATCCATCACGTGAGAATTCGGTCGAGGGCATCCCGACAACGGGCACGACACACGCGCAGCTTCACTAACTACCGCAGGACTGAAAGCGGGGTCGGCGCCCCCAAGTTCCGCAAGGGCACCGGACGCACAGAGCCCGACGGCCGGGGCGCAGGGGCGGACCCCGGAGCGCGGAGAGCGAAGCGCGGCGGGGCCCCACGCCCCGG